CCCCAAAACCCCAAAACCCCAAAACCCCGAACAGAAAAATCACAAGTCAAGTTGAAATTTAGAAATAACAGAATTAATCAAAGTGTTTAAAATATTTAAATATCAAGCAAATCAAATAAAATGAGGTAAGGCGGAGGACCTTAAATTAGCAATACAAATATGAGTGTAAATCTCAGCCAGCATATCTCTAGTGGTTACTAGGCTCCTAAAAAACCCTAATACTTAGTCAACCATAATAATACCTCTTACAATTAGACTAATGAGGTACCCTATTAACCCTCTAAACAGCCTTCGCAAAAGCCAAATGCTTAGAAGCAACACCCAATCTAAAGAAATTTAGATTCATCCACAAAAAGCACCACCAGTCATCAGCATTGAGGTAAATACAATAAAAATGTTATGCTGACATCATAATAAAACAATAGCTAAAACTAATCTCTCAATCACCAGCTCAAATATTAGACACCGACAAATTAAAACAATTAAGTCACAAGTTAGTATTAAGTCGCGCATTAGTAAAATAAAAAGCAATACGAAAAAGTTGAAAAGCCAAAAGTGCATTAGAAGAAAAAATATGAGATGACACTAAGGCTATTAGAGGGAAAAATTATCAGAGATTATTCGACGATGCTTTTTAAGATGTCAACTTACCTGACTGTGGAGCTAAAAAAAGGGAAACAACAGTTTAAAACTCAATAACTTCCAAGCAAAAATCCTAAATGGAATGAAAGTTTCAAATTTGAGGTTAATAACATTGGTGATGTCGTTTAGATTACTCTCTATAATAAGTTTGCATTCCAAAAGGAGGATAAATTAGGGTATCTAGTATTTTCATTGGAAAAATTAGAAAACTACAATACAACTGATTGGTTTATACTCTACGATGACGACAATCAATAAGTGGGGTCTGTATTGATAAATCTGACATCTGAAGAGATTAAAAGTAAATCCAATAAGAAAAAAACTTAAGATACTCCAACTGAGTCAGAGGAGGGTGATTTAGATGAGCATGATGTCGATGAGGAGCTTGAGTAATCTTTAGATTACAGAGACCACGAGATATCTAGATCACTTATTCCTAAAAATCATATCAAAGGTCAGTATGAAAGAAGTTTTCCGAGGAATGCAGCCAATATGAATAATGTCTCATAATACAAAGGTTTACACACCTAGTAGCAGCAGTAAAGTTCTCACTCTTATTTGAACACTCAAACTAACTAAGCTAGATAGAGTGTTACTGAGAATTCAGTTATTAGACATTACAGTTCTCATACATCTAATTCTGATGATCTTGATTCTCCCTCAAAGCCAACTAAGCATCTAAACTATAACTAAAATCAGTTAATTGCAAATAGGGAACTTCACAATAGATCTAAGAATTTTAACATCACAGCCTAAAATCAATCAAGGAATAATTTCTAATAGAGTTATACAGGCAATGCAGTCTTAGGTCATTAGGAAGAGGAGTAATTACTTCCATAGTAGCTGTTTTATGGCAAGAACTAGCATCATTCTAATTCAAGCAATAATTTAATGCTCTAGCAATAACAGCAAATCCAGTAATAGCATATGATGTAACAAAATTAGCAACAATACAGAAATAACATTCATAACTCCCAATTCTTGTATCTTGATGAGATATCTGATCCAAATGGTGCTGCTAGCAAAAGCCATCATCATTAACACAAAAATCACTGCAAAAAGTCAAAAGATAGATCAAGTAGGAGAAATAAAAAGCATCAGCATAATCAAAAGGATAAGCATAAAAAGTAGCATGTCTAGCAGCCTTTGCATGAGGTAGAATAGTTTGTAGATGATATTGATTAAAATCTAGAAAATGATGATGAAGATATTAACTATGGTAACTATCTGAATTAAAGATCATAGAATCATTTCAACTAGAATAGTGCTGGAAACTAAATGCAACAGCCTATCTCTGCATCACAGTCTCAATAATTATTATCAGCTTTTACAAAACATCACAATATCAATTATGATTCTGGTGGAGCCACTTCTGGTAGTAATGGAGGATAGTAGCAGATCTATAGCAATATGGGTGTAAGTATTGGGCTAAGTGGAAGCGGTGGTGGAAATTCTACTAATGGAATAAACGGCATGCATCTTAATCCTTATCACTTAGGTGCTGGATCAAGTGGAAGTTATCTTCCAAATGCCAATCTAAATGGACCAAGTTATTTTGAAGATCAACACTCAATAGAGTCTTTAAATGAGTTAAACGCTCTTGGCAATCATAATATCAATTCTCATATGATAATGAATTCTAACTTCCAAGGTATGATTTCTAAAAATCTCTATGATGCCTCTGAAATCTAAGATATTGAGGAAGCAAAGTTGCAATTGATGAAGGAAAACTAAATTATAAGTCAACAAGAAATGTAGATTCAATAAGCCTTCGCCTAGTACAAATAAAGCAAAGAAACCTTGAATCGTGAGATTCACTTATTTTAAGAGTAAGAGAAGTAGTTCCAAGAAATGAAAAAGAACTTCTAGATGTAAATGGATGAATTTAATAAAGAAAAAAGGTTGCTATCAGTTTAGAAGAAGGAGTTTAAGTACTAAAAATAGTAACTAGAGAGAAGATTTTTCAATATGAAAAAGGAGAGAGCTCTGCTTTCTTAAAAGCAGAAGTCAATAGATGATCTGTATTCAAAGTTTGAGGAACTCATCAATCAAACCAAGATGCTCAAGAGTCCTTAGATGGCATAAAACTATCCGCTTAAGATCGATGAACTACTGAATTTGATGAAGGGGATTCATTATGGACTCCAAATACTAATTACTTCAGACAAGTTTTAAGATCTAGACAGGCTAATGATGGAAGAATAGCAATACTAGCAATAATAAAATCACCTTAATATCCATGGTCACATTCAATAAGAATCAACTAGCTCAATTGCAACTAATTCAACTGGAAACTATAACTTCTTGATCCAAGGTGGTGTCAGCGGCGGCAGTGGCAATAATCCTCTCTTTGGAGGAAACAAACATTCTCCCATTAATAAAAATTCTCCCTACAGTGCACAGAGACAGCAAATTCACAACTAACAACTGATGTCTCAGCAACTTACTTAGTAAAATTCTAGCAACCTTATGATGTAGCAATAAAATCAATCAATGAATAAGGGTATAAAGCAAGGCAGCAATAATCATCTTCACCATCCCCTTCAAATTGGAAGCAGCAATAACTCATAAAGCTCGCCACAAGTCATTGCTGATATAATTAACACTGAAGAGGAAGATTTTCTGGACTAAGATGAGCTATTTAAGAAACTTTCTCCAAGAGGTCAGAATGAAGAGGAAGATATTGCTGATGATTATTCAACTAACATGAATATGAAAAAAGCTGTTGATAAACAGAAGTTTTTCTTTAAGAGCAATAAAGGACCTTTCCTAAATGAGCAGCATGAGTTATCTACTATTATTGAAAAAGAATTATTAACTAGCCAGAGAAGAAGTAGCAATGGGGCAGTGGGTACAAACACTACAATTGATAACTATAGAAGCAATCAACACTAGTAATAGTAGCAAATCCAAAACCAAAACTAATTGCTTTAGTCTCAGCAAATTATTGGAGGATTAAATGGGTAGCTACATTCATAAGCTTCTGCTTTCCAGACAATGGGAACTGATATGAATCAGGCTAATCTTGAAATCGAAGAAGAAAAAGACAATCAGCTAGCATAAGCCAATAATAACCTGATATCATTGAAGTTAGCTGAACTAGAAGGTTTTAAGAAAGCATATATAGAAAAACTAGCTTATCTTTCAACTATCGAATAGCAAATTCTAAAGAATACAAGTGATGTTAAACAGTAACCTGATATTTTAACGAATCAGTTTATGAGTAACTAAGCCAATCAATTTTAGCAAATAGAATAAGACTAATACTAAACTAACATGATGGACAATAATTAGTTCTTCTACACTTAAAATGAGCTCTATGTCTCTGGAAATACCGATAACTCCCAGAACTCTTAAATTAACAGGCAATCAATTGTCTAAATTACAGCTAATGGAGAGCAGATAATTGACTTATAGAGTGAGATTCCTTTGATTCAGAGTCAAAATCATAACCAGCCATAGATTCAAAATGCTGAGCAAGATAGTTTCGAATTCAAGCCTGATCCGGACTTCTTAAAGAAGATAAATCAAAACATGCTTTCTAATGATGGGAAATTTGGCTAGAATAACAATCAACCTCCTGTAAATAACAGATTCAACCAAGGTTTAAATACAGGAGCTCAGATAAATCCATAGATTTTTTACAACACCTATGGCGATGAAGAAGACTAGCAAGAAGAAGTCTCTCAGCAATATGAAATAGATTACCCAGAGTAAGAGCAACTTGATTTCTAAGAGGATGAGATTATGAGAAATCAGTCTAACAATGAAAATGCTCAAATGAAAATGAATTATGATATGTACAATTAGTTTGCGCAGCTACCTCCTCCTAATCTTTACGGATAGAATAATAGTCCTGGCATGTATATTAATGGAGTATTCTACTCAAGCAATCTTGAGATGAATTACATATCCAACTAGGATCTTTAATAGCAGGTCTCAGATAGCCAATATAAGGACTTTAATGAGGCTTTGGACAACGATTAAAGCTATGACAATAATGCTGGTACTATCATGCATAACAACAAGATTATTACTCATGAAGATATTGTATAGCAAAAGGTCTAGTAGCTACAACAAGCTCTCCCCACAGGCTAAGGTAAAATTACAGTAAAGGATCAAGAGAAAGTGTAGCTCGAGGTAAAGGCTAAAAGAGAAAAGCTTCCTGAAGATGAAATAATCAGGCTGATTAATGAGAAATACATGTTCGAAGAGAACAACAAAGACGTTAGTGTGATCTACTCAAGTGATGGTAGAATTTTCGACTAACCTAAGAAAGCGCTCTATGGCATCCAGAGAACTAATGTGCAGTTCTGAGCCTCTAAGAGGGCTTAGGGTCAGGAGAGGCTTCAAAGAATGTCTTACAGATTGCATTATATTGAATGTTCGATTAAAGAATTATACTCAATTAATATTTTACTAATAATGATTGATTTTAAATGTGATTTAAATAATTAAAGTCTGCATATTTATTATCATTATTTTAGAGGAGTAATATGGTAAGATTCTTTATCGCTTATTGAGTGCGTTTAGACCAAGGGAACTCAGTCATTCGGAGGAAGAAACAACAAGACTCACACTTTGAGCAGAACCACCGGTACCTAAAGCTGGCACAAGCAAAAGAAGAGATGCGCCTCTTCAGGACATGGTGCTGGTACCAAAAAGAGAAGATGTATGATTAATTGTATTCCTAATCCATTATCTTAGACAACTGGTCCAAGAAAGCAGCAGGCAGAACCACCCAAGGTACTGGTAGAATGCGATACTTGAAACATGTTGCCAGAAGAGCAAAGAACGGCTTCAGAGAGGGCACCAGAGCCAAGTCCGTCAAGAGTTCAAGAAAGGCCGCCGAGAAGAAATGAGGAGTCTACCCAATCCTTATCTTTATTCAGCTAAATACTCTTATCTCAATCTATTTAATATATGTAGTTTTCAACTTCACACCCAATATCCACATCGATATCATGGGGTTTTGGGGTTTTGGGGTTTTGGGGTTTTGGGG